ACTTGTTTTTTCAATATTTTGTTAGCTATTTAATTACGATTTAAATGTAAAATTAAAGTAAAAATTCATAAATTATTTTCAAATTATTATTTCTCATAAAAATAGAAAAAATTTTAAATTTTAAATTGTATTATATTGCATTATTTATATCTATTATTGAAAATGGTTGTGATTAATATTTTTTGAATTAATTTTGATTATGTTTATAAAATTAGTAATAAATATAATAAAAAAACTTTATATATTAAAATTTCAGGAAGTTAAAATTGTAATTTTATCGACCGCGTTATTTTTAATATTTTTTAATTTTGAGAATTTTGCAATAAATTCAAATGCTTTTTATTCTTTTTTAAATCTTTTAACAATAAATAATAATTTGAAAATAATTTGTGAATTTTTACTTTAATTTTACATTTAAATCGTAATTAAATAGCTAACAAAATATTGAAAAAACAAGTTTACTTTGCCTTAATATGTAAAAAAAATAACTTTTTAAATGAACGATAGCTTCATTTATTTATTTAATAATAGTAAAATAATTCCGAAATTGAAATTTTAATTAATATTTCGTTTAACAATAATTTTTGTGACATTTTTGTAAATTAAAAAAAATTAAGTATAAAAGATGCATTTTTTCTGGGGTTCAGGGCTATTCTACGAATTCGTAAATATGCCCATTGTTATTTTTTCGTCGAGCTAACCCATTTAAAAAAAAATAAGTTTCTACGATGAATAGAAGCCGAGATATTGCAAAATTTACAGCGCGCACTTATTTGAACTTTGGATTTAACTTTTCTCGCGCGCGCGACCGCTTGGACGAGCTTCCCCCACCACCACGCCGCCGGCCGCCGGACAGTTTACTTAGCGAGTACCTTCTCTTTAAAGGGCTCGTGAGTCGTTAATTTTCCACATTTTTCAATGCAATTCACGGGAAATCGTAGTTTACGTCGTAAACTTTATTTTGCGAAAAATTCAAGTCTTAATATTTATAAACAATTGCGCTACGTTTTAAAAAAAAATTCTTATCTTGGCTCCTGTTGGTCGTAGAGGGTACTTTTTTTATTTTAAAACTGTATTTTTTTGCCAGCTATCCATTGCATCTATTTTCGGTGAGATAGCATAAATAGCAACAATGTTATTCAAATTGTTTATAAGCGAAAAACGCACGGTTTTTTAATGCACAATTTGAGAATGTTAATGTCAAAAAAACGGTGATATTTTTTAATAGGTCGCTTAATTGCGTCTTTAAGATTACAATGACGCTTTCAGAATCATGTTTGATTGAAAATTAACGCCTGTACAGAGGCTTAAAGTTCATAACTTTTGGAGCCTCCGCTATAAACAAATAGAATTGTGCGAAAACTATTGCACCTACAGCGCCCACTTTTGGCACACTTTTAAAGTATGACAAAACCCTCAACTTGTCATAGGTTTTATAAAATTTTAACAATAAATGCGATAGTTATAAACAAATGAAAAAATGGGCACTTTTCTTGTTTTTTTGCAATAACTTTTTTGTTTATTAACCGATTTTAATTTAACAAGTCTCATTTTGTAGATAATTTTACTCCCTACAAGCTGTCCGTGAGTCACTTTTCGCTAAAATTGATGGTTTTCCCTGCAAAGTGAAAAAACTGTTTTCCTCACTTATTTGTTTAAATAGAAAAGTTAGCTAATAAAAGTTTTTGACTCACGAGACGAGAGATGTCTTGTATTATGTTCCTTTAGACAATTTTACAATAATTTAGCGGATAGGACTTTTTTCGAGTTTCTCTTTTATTTTCGCTAATTTTCCTGGTGTACTATACAGAAGGCCACTAAAAGTCATTCGAATCGTACGTATCAAAAACAAAAACTATAATAATAATTCACTTTTATTAGGTTGGGAAAAAAGTATTTTTTTAATTTAAGATATTCTCCATCGTTATTTATCCTCCTCCCAACGTTCCACAGGTTTCTCGATGCCTCTTTTGTAGAAATCCTCCGGTTTTAACTCGAAAAACTAATCTAACCAAGCTCTTAACTCGTTGTCATTGTTAAAAGAAACACCGCTTAAGGAGAAGGACAAAGAATGGAAAAGGTGAAAATCAGAAGGCGCGAAATCGGGAGAGTAAGGCAGATAGAGCAGACCTCCCTAAATGAACTCCCGAATGGCCATTTTGGTCAAAGGTTGGAAAATCTCCAAGCTGGAGATACTGGTGGCCAAAATAAGTTGATTGAGCCAAATATGCCTTATGGAAATGTTGTTGGTTTCAAAGATATAGGATGTTCACTATTTGCATTTTATTTTGGAATTTCTCAATAATTTTGAAAAGTGTCAGAGTATTAACAAAAAAACTGACACCCTGTCTATATAGGTCTCCACTGCAAATTAATTTCACACAAACCAAAACTTATTAATGTCGTTGGGGTGAATTAATAGTAATAATAATGTAAAGTTTCGCACTTTATTTTCTCATAAAAACTAAAAAGACATTCAGGAACTTAACCACACCTCATACTACTCTATTCCTCATCCTCTACCGACTCCGGCGCAGCCAGCGCGAAATTCGGATTTGAATCCATTTACTACATTAAAAACAAAAAATTGTTACGGCGTTTGTGCCGGATTATTATCAAATTTGTATTACCATTGAAGAATTACTACTACTACAAATATGTAGAAATAACTACCGAATACTTCTTATGATTATGAATCAACTTAAAAGTACAAGTAGTATAACTAATAATAGAAAATAATAGGTATGCATTGAAACATAAAGAAAATATTTGAAAAGCGGACATAGTTATTGAAATTAAATAAAAGTTCCTATTTTAGATAGACATTGATGCTCTTTAGGAATTGCCACTCATTTTTACAATAACTATACGAGATACAAAGTGTTAATATACCAATGCCATAGGGGCCAGTGGCGGTTTTACCATAAGAGCTGCGGAGCTGCAGAACACATAAAATTTTATGTATTTAATCATATTAAATATCAACAAAATCTTTAAAGAATCCAAATGTACTCGCGCTAAAATAAATCTAGGAGCTTATATTATTATTTATTGCGACGCGAGCTACGCTCCTTAATATATGCAACCTCATATACACAATGTGTGGACAGCGAACAATTATATGCGTCCTTTGTTTTTATTGGCTGATCAGGCACGTGACCCAGTACACGGAGATAGGGGCTTTTGCGGCTGCAATAGTGACAGCCACTGCGCTGCAGTCTGCAGTAAATGCAGTAATATTTCGTACGTGGTATGTGGTGGTTTATTTCTGCGAGCGGCACGTGTGAATATTTTCGTTTAGGCGTCTACGGATATTATAGTTATTAAAATGAATAGCGTTTCGTTTAAAAAAAAACTTTATTTGGTTCTCTGCCTTATGAGGATAAACTAAAAATAAAAGAAGTAAAAGTTATAAAAAAACAATAATGTATACACAAAAGCAGAGTGGGTGTGCGGGTGTGATTTAAAATATTCACTGTTTTGTTTTCCGTGCTTACTTTTCGGTGGGGATAAAGCATGGACAATATACAGTGTGAAAGATTTAAGTCATTAAGTCTTTAGGTAAAATAAACATAAGAAGTCAGTTAGATTCTGCATATTGGGATAATATACGGAAACACAATGAACAGGTAACGAAAAATCGTTATGTATTATCTAAAATCATAGATTGCATAAAATTTTGCGGAGCTTTCGAATTAGCACTTCGCGGACACGACGAGACAGAAAATTCGGACAACCCTGATGTGTTTCGTGGACTCATAAATTTTAGTGCAGATCTTGACGACATATTAAAAGAACATCTAGCCACATGGGTATGACCGGGATTTTCTGTGATTGTACCGGGAATTAGCTGTATGGTCCCGGATTTCGGATTTGCACGTATAACTCCCGGAATATAATATTATGTACATATATATAAAAAAAGATAAAGAAAAAATCATAACACGGCGAGGAAAATTAAAATTCGTTGAATCGTTGGTAAACTTCACAAACGATTTTTTTGTTTTTAAACAATATTCAATAATTTAATAAAATATATTTAGTTTATTCCAATTTATTTATACCGTCAGTAGGTAATTCGTGAATAGATATTTCAAAAAGGTATCAATTTCAAAAATCGTTGTGAAAATCTGTATTTTTGTATAAATTCATTGTTCCTTGAAATTCAGAAGTGCCAGGAAAACGCGTGACCTTGAAAATTTTTAAAAATTTTTCGCCTGCGGCGCCATTTACAGGCTCTCCGGGCACTTAATATCCCGGAATTCAATTCAACAAATGTAACAATTCTAAGCAGAACACATTCAATCAATGTACACGCGCCGCCACTGCATAGGGGTATAGTACAACTACCGTTATGAGCTACGCTAAAATTAGGCGGAAATCATTATTATTTGTAAATTTGTTTGTTGTTTAAATAAAACTTAAAACTAACAATTTTTAAATTAATATTACAAAGACTCAAAATTTGACCATTTTAATTTTCGTAACCATTACTCATCACAACTAAGCACATAAAAATCTGATCATACTTTGAAGTCATATTCCGTCGGTTCTTAAAACATATAGGATGTATTAATTTAAAAAAATGTATAAATAAATAACTCTGTAGAGAATTTTGTCTGTGGTAAATTGCAACACCCTCTAATTTATGTTCAGTATTGCTGTGGACTCAGAACTCACGCAGCGTGTATTATTTATTATACATAACAATAATTAAGGAAAAATTATTTACTTAATAGACCTTTTTAGTAGTGACGTCACATACGCTAAATAATAGGTACCTAACCCTATAGTTTACATTGTCATGAAGAATTTCTCAATATTTTTACTAGATCGATTTTCGACCGTATGTACTTTGGACATAAGTGACAAAAAAATGGCTTCATCTATAACGATTTGTTGCAGGTTGCCTAAATATGTGATGTCACACTAAGAGTCTTAAAATATGTATTAATTTATTTAAGTCAATTAGGTTTTAATACTTTTTTTTTTCGTTGCAGGATGTGACGAGCCCTCATGTCTGAAATGCGGTCCAAAAGGATGTATCAAATGCCCGAACCTGATAGTCTACCCCTCCAGAAAATGTGTCGACACCTGCCCATACGGCCACAAGCTCAAGTGGAGCACCATGGTGGACTACGTAGGCCGCGTTTGCCAGCACAACGGCAACTTCCTTGGGCTCTCGTCCAACGCCCTGGCAGTATTAACCGGCGTCGTGACCGGAACCCTACTCTGCACCATATTTATTTCATCAGCCATAGTTTACATAAGATATAAAAGGAAAGACGTCCCCCCTTTAAGCGAAACTAGTTCGGAAATCGACGATTCTCCAGAAAAAAAGGACTTCCTTAAGCAGTTGGAAACCTTAAGACCCTACGCTCAGAATTACCTAGACATGCTGAACGACACCCGACGGCAGATCCGAGAACTACATCGCGAGGGCGACGTCAGCGCCATCGCCGCGTACAGGCCGGTAATACGTGATTTGGCGAAGATACTCTTGCTGTTAAACAGACCGGTGGAGAAAATCGCCGTTCCTGACGACTGGGAGCACCTCTTCAACTGGGGAGAAAAAGCACTGAAACGGTACAAAAGAATGAGCGAAACATCCCAACCTCAAGTCGCCCAGCTTATAAACTTCCTTCAGGGACCTGTAATACCGACAGATCTGGACCCAGATTATTCCATTAGAGGGAGCACAACTATGAGCACATTCAAGCCAGACCAGGTTTTCGGTTCCAGTTTGAGCTTGAAGGATGTAGCGATAAATAACTTTAACAGTAACTACGATTCTAAGTATCACACACCTCTGAATCCTCAGTGGAAGTTTGAATATTCTCTAGTGTCGAACAATATGCCCTCGTCAGAGTTTAACCCGTCTTTGTGGAGGAACAGTAAAGAATACCTTAGTAATTCTTTATTCCTGGATGATGATTTCTACCAGTTAGGGTTCAGACCTCAAGACGAAATCACTACTGAGTTGTGACGCTGCTTCCCGTCACTTGAGAACCAAAATGTACTAGTCACTAAATGTTTTTTACCTTTGTATATGTCTTTTTTTAAGTATATGTTTACTGTGTAAGAAACCACTGTATTATTATTAAGTAAATTAATTTATATATCACTGAGTTTTATTTGAATATAAAAGAAACTACAATACATATTTTTTTTAATTTAAGACAGAACTATAACCAAAATATTAAAATTTTCCAAAGTTGCCTCCAACAGTTGACACAAAAGGGTGTTAAAAAAATCATAATTTTTGTTTAAATTTTTTGTTGCAACTAAGGTAATTTTTAAATATATTGATCTTTGAATTGTCAAAAAATAATGTTTTTTTGAATGGTAAATAATAATAGTTCATCTAATAGGGTAGACCATGTGATCTGTGTTGAAGGAGTGGCATAGTCAAATTTTAAATAAAAATTAAGCCAACCTAATTTCGTGAAATTTTGTTAACGAATATAATAACAAAGGAGGAGGACGCCTTAGGACGGTTTTTGGCCTAATTTATTTTTGGCTGACAAAATCTGAAAACATTTATTTTAGTACCTACTAGCAATACTGAGTCGTTTCCACCCTAAACGGACCAACCCCTCTTGTCCCCCTCCACCCCTTTAAATGGGATGACACACATTTACATTGAATAAAACGAAAAAGAAAAAAAATAATAGACATGTTTGTGCATATTTGTATAGCCACTTTGAATTTCGTGATTCTGAATTCATAATTGTAATAAATGATCCAAGAAAGTTTCTATAAACAAATATTTGAGAATTGTGAACATCTTTTTAATTTTTTTGTCTGCCATATGGAATACGTCATTTTGAATTTCGTAATTCTGCCTTCAGATTCGTAATCAGAGACCCAAAAAAACCCACTACACAAAAATTCATGCATTTTAAAAACATTTTAATTTTTTTGTCCGCCATTTTGAATTTCGTGATTTAGAATCCAGATTCATAATCATAGACCCAAAAAACCCCATTACAAAAAAAATCATGCATTTTGAAGACATTTCAATTTTCTTGTCCGCCATTTTGAATTTCGTGATTCTGAGACCAGATTCGTGATCAGCGAACCAAAAAACTCTCCATATGTAAGATTCATAGAAATTGAATGTCTTTCGCATATCTAAGCTCTTTAAAGATTCCTCAAATAAGCAATGGTTTCCCTGGCATTTAAGAGGGTGGAGGGGGGGGAAAGGAGGATGAGGGGGTTGGTCCATTTAGGGTGGAAACAATTCAGTACTGCTAGAAGGTACTAAAGAAAAATTTTTTCAGACAAAAATAAATTAGGCCAGAAACCGGTCTTAGGGGCCCTCCTCCTTTCAGGGGGGTACAGGGGTGTGCACGGCCCACCCCAGAAAGCCCGGTGCCCACCCCAGAAAAAAGATCTAATATTATCGTCTATCATATCGGCATGTCGGTAAGTCGCTGACTACGTGACTTTTTTTTTTAAAGAACTGTGTTCAGGTTTTTATAATTTTATTCGGCAAGTTGTTGATTGCGAGAGCTATTTTTTAGAGACTCCATAGAACTTGCAGCCCTGAGCCCACCCTAAGTAAAAATTCTAGCTACGCCTATGCCTCATTTATATGTCATGTGTTTTAATGAAACGACACTAATTGTAACAAGATTTCGCAGCGTTGCCAACTTAACATATCTAGTTACTTACCAAAGTCAGTTTAATATCAAAGTGGTGTCGCGGGAAAATTTAAAATACTTTGTAGGTAGTTCTCATTAAATAAAATAATACTAAAGTAATAAAATGAATGCATAATGACACCCAATAATAATAAATTAAGCGTAAAATTTTGTGGTCCTTTTTCTTATTTTTTTATGTAAATGTAACGTAAAATTAATTGTATATCACGATATTATATTTTCCACAAATACTAATTTTAAATTCAAAAAAGTCATCTCATCTGCTAAACTACTAACTTTTACCAAGTTATAATAGTATTATATTGTTTATATAGTTTATTTTGCTAAATAGGTTTATTAAAGGTAAGTGAATTGGTGCAATAAGTATTAAACACTAAAAACGTTGACTGAAATATTGAGAGAATATTTCAATCAACACCAAAATATTTTTTTTAGGTTAGAGAGAATACACAAGGTATATTTTTTTTTACCGTGGCAATATTCCTTAATGATTATTTTAATATATACCTAAAAATGTTAATGTACTTAGGTAAAACAACAATTGTGTGGTATCAGGAATTAAAAGGTCGATGAAGAAAAAAATGAGAGGGCAGTGCAGATGAATAGATCAGAAGGATCAATAATTGCAGTTTGACAATGATTTCACATTTCACAACAAACAATTAACCCCTCTGGCTGATAAAACTGCTCCATTTTTTTTAGGAAAAGTAATATTAAATGCAAATTAAGACTTATAATAGTTGGATTTTTATTTAGATTCATTTACAGAAATTCTACTTATTGCTATACAAAATGTTTACTAATGAATTGTTCTAATAACAGAAAAGCAAATGTATGTAAACAAAAGCAATATTTGGTAAAAATTATACAAAATATAAATCAATATAGGTACTCAAGACGTAGTGTAGATGCGGAAATTAAAAAAATATATAAACAATATGTTTCTTATATATTCAAAATATACATAGTAAAATGTGGAAACAAAAAAAACAATTCTTTTAATGATAAAAAATGTATGATATGCAAGTCGGAGATGCTTTCATTATAATCAATGTAGCTGTAAAAAAAAAACAAATAAAAATGTGAACGAATGGCACTTCCCTTAAAAGTTTTCTATAATCCATAAACTATTAAAAAATAAACAAACGAACCTTATTTAAAGTGAGGTTATTTTAACTCCACCAGAAACTCGTGAAACTCAATTGATACCAACTAAATTTAAACAATAAAATTTGGTAAGCAACTAAATTCTAGTTCGATTTATATTGGCAACATGCGCGAAATCTTGTTACAATTAGTGTCGTCTGTTATAATGGCGTACCGTTTGAAATGGGTTGATAGTTAGACAACCAGTAAATCTTGCAAATTTGAGTAATAGATGACGATTCAGCGGCACTGTCATCCTTATTTATAGCATAAATAAGACTGAGACAGATTGTCCCTACCTGTTATAAATTCACTTCTCACTACAGGAATCTCGGAAACAGTAAGAGATACAAACTAGCTTAAATGAGGGCAAAGTTGCGTAATCAGGGGACCAACAATATGCCTCTGAAAAATCAAGGCTAACATGATTATATTTGGAAATATTTGAAAAAAATGAAATTTTGGAAATCTGTTTTTGTTTCATTCCAGCCTTGTTTGCGGTGATATTCAAAAAAGAAGAATACTTTCTCATGGCAACTTTTTGCCCTCATTGAATGTCCTAATCAATTTTTATATGTAATGTATTCATTATGACAAATTAATTCTTAAAAATGCAAATGAACAACCAAAACTCCAAATGAATATTATACTTTAAAAAAATAAAAAATCGTTTACGTTTTGGCAAATCTTGAAAATGAAGATAAGCATAATATGATCGGAAATTATTATAACTGTTGCCGTGTTATTTTTTCTTTTGATTATCAAAATAGGTATTGGGGTTGTTTTATTCTTTATTTATTTTACATTTATTTTTAATCACAAGAAAATCACACATAACGGCAGCTTTTCGTCGTGAGAGCGGGTCGTAGGTTAGGAAGCAGCTAGCTAAAATTGTATATACAGTATGGTGTTAAATTAGGGCGCCACGTAACTTATGAG